AGAGAGAGAGAGAGAGAGAGAGAGAGAATGTAATATAAATATGAGAAATTAAGAAATGTATAAACAATATATGTATTGTTATATATAATATATATATTGTTTTATATATATATATATTAAAAAATATCTTTTTCCCATAATGTATACATAAATAGAGATTTGATAAAATAACATTTTCAGATATTTAATTTGTATGTATTTAATTTATGTTTGCACAATATATTTACGTTATATATACTGATAAGAGTGCCTGCGGATGTTTATACGTATACATTATACATTTGTAATGATACGTACGCGTATTATTTCTCGAGAATATGCCGAATAAAATTGTATATATCAAGAAATAGAAAGTGTTTAGTATAAAAGTGCATCTCGAGCAAATAATCTTTAAACCAAACATTGATAAAATTGTTATTATATAATTTCATGATAAATTACATTTTTTTTTGTATATAAATCAAATTCTCTAATTAAATTATATTTAATATCATAATAATTTAGAATTTTATAAAAACATTGATAAAAAGTTTACTAAAGCTTCATTGTCAGGTCTGAAGTAAAGTGTTATAACAAAAAAGTGCGTGCGTGCACGTTTACACATGTTTACATACATATATATTATCAATCATTAGAAATGATGTTATGATCATCGTAAATACTTACATATAAAAAGACAAATTGAAAATAATATATTAAATTTATCGAAATCTATTTGTCTTTTCAGTTCGATCAAGTTGATTACACTATTGAATTATCATTAATTAATTTTTTAGATTTTTGTAAATATGATCAATATTATCAACTTGATAAAGAATTCTTGAGACAATCGAAATTTACTATTTTTTTATACTTTTCTTCTATTATTAATCTACTATTTTTTTGTTAATTTTGAATTAAATTCATCAATATTTAGATTTTTTTTCATATTATTCTTTTTATACTACTGTTTTTATGATATTTATAATAATATCATAAATATCATTAATATTTTTATAATATTTATAATTTAAAGCAACATGGCTGATATTAGTTTCAATATTGATATATTTATATATATCAATATGTATTGCATTATATGTATATGCATTATATTATTTATTGATTTATTATGTTTATTATTATATTTATAATAAATTATTTTTATATTTATATAAATTATATTTATTATTATATTTATAATAAATATAATAATAAGTATTGTGATTACACAAAACATGATTATATTATCATTATTATATCGTTTCTCGTCATTATCGGCATTACTTCCATCGTTGAAAATATCGCTATTGTCAGCAATGTCAGCATTATAATATTATTACATTTTTTACAAATAAAAAATATCTTCTGTGAGATGGGATAAGAAAAAAAAATTTAATCTTATTAGATAAATTCACTACAATTTTTTGTGATTGAATTGTCAAATTTCTTTTTTAATTCAAATGAATACATAAATTGTATAAATTTCATAACTTACATAATATATTCTTTTTTCTTTGTAGTATAATATGATAATTTTTTAAATATGTCTGTAATATTTATTTTATTATTAAGTAATAGATTCTAATCTTAGCAAAAAATTATTGTAGTTAGTGAATATCCAATGAAAATTATTACATGAATAAGAGAATCTCGATAAAATGTATATGACTGGAATCTTTTTTTTTCTTTCTTTTTCTCTCTTTTTCTTTTTTTTTACATAGCTAACTGATTTTTTTTCTTTCTTGAAGTTGTTTAACCTTTGTTTCCATTTACTTTTTCTTCATTTCATTTACTTTCGAAATGTAACAAATTTAAAAGTAAACATCATAAATTAAAAAGAACCACAGAAATAACATTTAGTAGCTTATTATTCGATTAAGAAACATAATGGAGGTTAAAACTGTCACAAAAAATAGTCATATGTCAAAAATTAAAAATGTCTTAAATTCAAAAGCATCATTTGTGCCGAATATCGAAGTAATCACGAAGAATGTTTTTGTACCTGTAACGAAAACCATATTTACCAAGAAACGTAATGATGCAATACAGAGCAATATTCCCAAGCGCAAGACAGAGTTTTATAAATTATGTCAATCTAACAACGGCATAACAGTATCATTGTTGAAAAAACCATGTTGTCTTCCGGTAAAAACATATATACAAATCTAGTAGTATATTTAAAGCATGTTTTTCGAAAATGAATTTTTCTTTTCACTTATTTAGTTTTCTATTTTTCTAAGTTTTCTTTATCTGTTTTTTCTTTCTTTTT